TATTTATTTTTTAACAAAGTTAAAATAATATTGCTTTGATTATATTTAATTAAGGAAAAATTGCAATTTATGTCCCTCTATAATATGTCAATTATTAATGTCACTCCTAAATTATCAGTGGTGTAAATGTTGCCCCTCAACTTTTAAAACGGTACATATATTGCCTATTCCGTACCGTATAAGAAAAAAATTGAAGAGCAACATTTACACTAATAATAATTCAAGAGTGACATTAATAATTGGCATACTATAAAGGGACATAAATTACAATTTTCTCTTTAATTAATTACTTTTTTGGGTGACTTATCCACTATGCTAGAAAAGTACTGATAATGAATCAACTTGGTTACAATTAATGTCGAACTATTTGAAATATAATTGGTTTATTTATAAGATTAAAATGAATTGGCAAGTACATGATCTGGCCATTGGAGAAGTACTTAATTAGAGGAGGGAAAAAAAAAACAAGAACAAAGAAAAAAAACTAAACACACAAGTGTAATAGAATATGAAAAGTTGTAGTTTATTCATTGTATGTACAGAGCTTTATATAGATTACAGAGCCATAAAATAAGGTGGGGTTATACCTAACCACAAGACTAGGCAAAGGAAAAGTATTAACCAGAAATATAACAATCAGAGAGATATAATCAAGAGGCTAATACTAAGTCTTCACATGCCCCTGCAAGATTGAGGCACCGTCAGCGAGCCCAAGCTTGGACCAAAACACAGCAAACAAACGATAACTAAGCGGTTTAGTCAGCAGATCAGTCACCTGCTCAATTGATCGGACATAGCTAACACGTAGAGCACCAGACGTGACCTGCTCGTGCACAAAAAAAAAGTCAAGCGCCAAGTGCTTCATTCGTGAGTGAAAAACCGAGTTTTTGCACACATACGAGGCACTTAAGTTATTAGTAATTAATTGCGATGGAGAACGCAGACCAACACCAAGCTCACGTAACAAACTTTGAACCCACATAACTTTAGCAGCGGAATTAACAAGCGCCTGGAATTCAGCTTCCGTGGAGGATCGAGACACAAAGCGTTGTTTAGTAGACTTCCAAGAGAAAAGATTGGAACCAAAAAACACACAGTAGGCCGTGTTGGATCGCCCCCCGTCACGAACATCCCCCTAGTCAGAGTCTGAATATGCTACAAGAGAGAGGGGACAACCACGCCGAAAGTATAATCCAAAGTGCAACGTACCCTTTAAGTAGCGTAGGACCCGCTTTGTAGCTTGCCAATGACTCTTAGTTGGCGATGCCATAGATTGAGCCAAGCGATTCACCGCAAACGAAACATCAAGCCTGGTAATCACCAAGTATTGGAGGTGCCCAATGACGCGACGATAAGCCGTGGAGTCAAAAGGCGTAGCATCTGCACCTAAATCAACCGAGGTACACATCGGAGTAGAAATTGGCTTCGCCCCCGTCATGCTAAACTGTTCCAGTATGTCAACCACATACTAACTTTGAGACAAAAACAGACCAGTTGCCGTAGACACGACTTCAACGCCCAAGAAGTGATGCAACGGACCCAAATCCTTTAACGAAAACCGCTGAGATAGGCGACAGACAAAAGTCGCGGTGAAAGCATCATTGTTGCCTGTAACAATAATGTCATCTACATATACCAAGAAATACAAGAGAACATCACATGTACAACAAATAAATAGGGAAGAGTTTGCCACAGACTTCTTAAAACCAAAAGAAATGAGAAAGTCAGATAATTCAAGATACCAAGCCCGATGGGCTTGCTTTAACCCATAAATAGCCTTTTTCAAACGACAAACATGATTAGATTTCTCGTCATCAACAAACCCCGCAGGTTGTGCCATATAGACTTTCTCGAATAGTGTACCGTTTAAAAAGGCATTATTCACGTCCAATTGACGTAACACCCAACCTCACGATAATGCAATGCCTAAGAATGACACGCATAGTGATCGGTTTAACCACCGGGCTAAAGGTCTCAAAGTAGTCTCGTCCCGGTTCCTGTAAAAAACCCTTGGCAACCAGTCGAGCCATGAACCTGTCTAGAGAGCCATCAGCTCTGCGCTTAACCCTGAACACCACTTACAACCAACCACATTACGATTGGCCCAGGGCACTAACTCCCAAGTAGAGTTCTTCACCAGCGCATTAAACTCATTTGTCATAACAGTTCGCCACAAGTCACACTTCAACGCTTGGTCTACAGTGCGTGGTTCAACAGACGGAGAAACCGGATGCTAGGTCGTCAGATTCACAAATTTACCGCCAAAGTACTTAGGATTCGGACGACGCTGCCTGTTCGACTGCCGCAAGGGAGGGAGCACAGTAGCTTGATCCGCTACGACCGTATCATCATTCCCGTCAACCTGCATGGAATTCGCCTATGTGGAGGAAGTCGATCGACAAGGAACCTGCTTGCGTGGAACTAGCCGACCGGACTGGACACACCGCCTCCACCGACTGAGATACTCGTTCAGATGGCGGCTGTTCCTGAAGACCAACGGCCAGCGGTGAGTTTGGAACTGCCAAGCCAACCAGCGACTCACCATGAGGAATAGCAGACACCGACGACGACGGTGCAAAAGCAGCGTGCGTCGTGCCAGCCCTCGAACCCTGACCAGACGACGAAGGAGCTACCGGCGACGCCACTGTAGTGACCGCCAAGGCTGACAATGGGTGAGGCTGTACCGGCGCCGGCGCTGTAGCTACGTCCGTCGTCAAGGCCAAGGTACGTGAATGATGTTCACCAGTAAGGGGCATTCCAATACGACCTGTAGTAAAGGAAGAAGACAAAGGCAGAAGCTCACCCACGTTCAAACACACATCTGGGTTAGTTGACATAGATTTACAAACCATGCTCTGGAATGGAAATTCATTTGGCACAAACTGGACGTGACGCGAAACATAGACTCGCCCACGGGACATTTCTAAACATTTCTAAGCGGACTGACTCAACGAATAACCCAAAAGGGCATTGGGAAGGGACTTTGGATTTAATTTGGCTGGGAAGTAAGGCTTTAACCAATGATAACACAGGCACCGAACGGTCGAATTTTCCGATAGTTTGGGCGTTTATTAAATAATCTCTCATATGGTGTAGAATGACCGAGAATTGCAGTGGACATTCGGTTTATTAGATAAACAACGGTTTGAAACGCATAGGGCCAGTACGAAGCTGGCATGGACGCATAATGGAGCAGCGTCATACCAGTCTCGACAACGTGCCTATGCCGGCGTTCAGCCGACCCATTGTGCTCCGGAGTGTGCGGAGGTGAAGTAAAGTGTGAAATCCCTATAGAATTAAAAATAGGAATCAACTTGATATACTCCCCCCATTATCAGAAAATATTGAAACAATATTATAGGCAAAATAAGTCTCTACCATGCGTTTGAACTGGAAAAATATAGTGAGGAAATCAGACTTAAGTTTAATAGGGAACAATATTATTAGGGCTGTTAACGAACCGAACATAAACGAACGGAGGTTGTTCGTGTTCGTTTGTTAAGGAATTTGGAGTGTTCGTGTTCGTTTGTTAAGGTTTTTGAAAATCATGTTCGTGTTCGTTTGTTAAGCGTTCGTTAACGTTCGCGAACACGTTCACGAACGTGTTCGTTAACCTTAACGAACATGTTCGCGAACGTGTTTGTTAACGTTCGTGAACACGTCCACAAACGTGTTCGTTAACGTTAACAAACACGTTCACAAACATTTTCATTAACAAGCACGTTCACGAACATATTCATTTACGTTCATGAACACTTAATAAACAAACACATGCACATGTTCATGATCACAATTCGTTCGTGAACAATATATAATCTATGTTCATGAACAATAATCAAACAAACAACACAACTACACAACTACAAAACTAATATAATATCATATATATGTTTGTGAACATGTTCGCGAACATTATTAAACGAACACAAACGAGCTTGTTCACAAACATTATTAAACGAACATAAACGAGCTTGTTCACGAACATTAGTAAACGAACACAAACGAGCTTGTTCACGATCTCTTAGCAAACGAGCTTACAACTGTTCAAGCTCTGTTCGTTTATTAACCGAGCTCTAAATTTTGTTTGTTAATGTTCGTTTACCTTTAACAAACGAACATAAACGAATGCTTACCGAACACGAACACGAGTAGTTTGCCGAAAGCTCTGTTCGCTAACACCCCTAAATATTATAGCCAATATTATTTTTCTCGGTAGAGTGTTGGCTCTGATACCATAATATATTATGGCATATTCAATGTAAGTACAGAGTTTTATATATATTATAGAGCCATAAAATAAGGTGAGGTTATACCTAACCACATGACTAGGCAAAGGAAAAGTATTAACCAGAAATATAATAACCAGAGAGATATAATCAAAAGGCTAATACTAAGTCTTTGCAAAGTGAGACTTGATAGTTAAATATAGAATATGAGATGACTAATTTTCAATTATAATATCCAGGGAGAGAGTATGTAGCTATGGAAACATTATTGATAAAATTGGAAGAATATAATAAGTATGAATTTTATCCTAACCAATTTCATGATAAAAATATTTATAATTCTTTTATGATAATAAGTGCGATGTATATATCATACAATGAGGCATGAACTCATACAACTAATGGAATAATTAATGTACAGATACAAAAAGTTAAAAATTGATTATTTAAACACAAAAAAATATCAACAAGACAACAATGACAACCACAAGCTAGATTTGGAAGAATTGAAAAACACAACATCAAAGCATAAAAATAATAAAAGTTATTAATCTTTCTTGTCAATAATATTTTTAAAATTTGTAATTTATGTCTTTCTATAATATGTCAATTATCAATGTCACCCATGAATTATTAGTGGTGTAACCGTACGGGAGGGGCAATATATGTACCGTTTTAAAAATTGATGGACAACATTTACACCACTAATAATTCAGGGGTGACATTGATAATTGACATATTATGAAAGGACATAAATTACAGTTTTTCCTATTTTTAATTTAATAGAGAAAAATTTTCACCATAATTGCTTTGAATAACAACTCTTAGTATATGTTTAATCTTCCATCGATCTGATCCTTCAACACTTATCCTTTGAACAAGTTGAGATGGGCTGAGTAGATGCAATATTCTCAAATGCTCAACTTCTCTCAAGCCTTCTGGAAGCATTTCTAGACATCTGCACTCCATCATAGATAGTAACGCAAGACATGTCATAGCTCCTTTTCCTAGTTCCCACTTAGTAAGCTCCGGGCAATTTATGCTTAGACTCTTGAGTTTTGGAAAGCTCCCTTCACTGCACAATAACTGGTCTTCACTATAACTGTCAATGTAGAGATCCAACAAGCTTGGTAGTTTCTCCAAACTTTTGAAGAAATCCTCATCTACACCACACTTAAATATATGAATTACGCGAAGATAGTTAGGAGCGCTAATAAAATTTACCAATTTCCCAAAGTCAATGAGCTGGAGCTTCTTGAGAGAAAGGGGTGGCGAGAAATTTATAAATTCTTGTAATTCATCACTTTCACTTTGAATAAATAGAGAGTGAAGATTTGTCATTTTTTTGACAGAATCACAAATTGCTCTCCAACATTCTTCCCCTTCCATGAAAATAATTTTCAACTTAGTGAGTTGTGGGATGTTTACTAATTCTCTTGCTTGGATGGTATTCATCAGTATGTCAGATAATGTTTGAAGCTGAGAAAATGTGAATACAATATCTGGCAATTGGAATCTATAACTTCCAAAGAGATGTCTCAGCTGCTTAAGCTCTGACATGCATTTAGGCAAACTCTTCACCAAAGTATGTCTTAAATCCAATGTCTGTAGATTGTGCAATCTTCCCAACGAATCAGGAAGATGTGTCATCTCATTAATACCGGACAGATCTAAGTACCTAAGATGAATTAGATCCCCAAGCTCATTGGGTAGCTCCTTCATACCATGAGGTAACCTTTCCAACACCAGAACTCTGAGCAACTTCATGTTTTGGAACATTTGAGGGAATGAATTCAGAGCAATCCCTTCACAGCGATTGATGATGAGTGTACGTAGCTTCTTCATATTTTCGTAGCAAATGTCAAGCTGAAAATTTTGCTCCTGTTCCAGGATGATCAAACTACGCCTTTGCTTCCACTCAAGTTTCCTGCAGCTACTTTGCTCCAATTTGATGATTTTAGCAAACATTTCCCTTCTAATCACCTCACACGCCACATCACGGTAAAGGTCGTGCATTTCGATTCTTCCCAACTCTATACCATTGTACTCATTTGGAACGATCTGAAGCAAGCTTCTATTTTTGAGCTGAAGGAAGTAATCCCTTGCTATGTGCTCTAGTGTTCTGCCACTATGGGGATGGGCATCATCATTGATAAACCCCTCCGCAATGCACATGCGAATCAACGTTTCGGCATCAATGACATATGTTTTGGGGAACATTGCACAGTATAAGAAACATGACTTGAGGTGAGTTGGCAGTTCATAATAACTCAACAACAAGGCTCTGTTAAGAGATGCTAGACTGCCACCTGCTTCAGATTCAAATTCGTGTGAGTAGTAGTCAAGGCTTTTGAGAGCATCCCTCCATTTTGATGGATCATCACCTTTTGTGGACATCAACCGAGCCATTGCAAGAATTGCAACAGGTAAACCTGAGCATTTCTTAACCAATGCTTTTCCGGCTTCTTCAAGCCCATTAGGCCAGCTGCGGCTACCTAAAGCCAATTTGCAGAAAAGGGTGCATGCCAAATCAAATTCTAATGGCTTCACCTCAACATAATGAAGTGCAGCCCCAAGAAAAGACCCATTGGCTATATTTTTATCACGGCTAGTGACGATAATTGAAGATGCACTGTCGCCAGGAAGTTTTATTTTAGCCAAGAGAGTGTGATCCCAAACATCATCAAAAAATACAACATACCTCTTCCCCTTCAAGTAGTTGCAAATGTGTTGGTGGAGAGAATTTGCATCTGCTTTCTCCAGTTTAGACGGCATCTCTGTTCCATCACTTGTGTAGAGCCCATTGATTGTTGTCCTCAGAACATATTCAATATCTGAGGAGTGGTTCACATCAACCCACCAACAATAATCAATGCTGCGATCCATCTTGACACTTTCATGAACTTTCTTCGCCAAAGTAGTTTTCCCACAACCTCCAGCACCCAAAATCGTGATCAACTTCACTTCACCACTACACTTCTCAATCAGTTCTGCTATCTGGTTGACTTCCATGTCAATCCCCACTGCTTCTATCCCCACCATATATCCACTCCCACTGCCCATCAGTAACTCATTTCTTCCATCATTTGTCTTCAGTTTTATACCGTACTTTGATTTGTCTATTTCAAGAGCAAGTAGCTTCTCATCCATGGCTTTTAACTGCTGATGGAAGCAAAACTGTATCTTCACCCTCTCCACCAAGCTCTGCACGTAGGAAAAGATGGACTTGACTTCACAAACATTGCAGGGAGGAGTGTTGAGTTCCAGAAGCTTGGAATCCAACATAAACTCCTCCACCAAGTCCTCAAGTTGAAGTGTGGTATCCCTCAGTTGTGTTGCCCACCTCTCTGCTACCTTGCTGTCTTGTTTTCCCTTGCCTGAAAAATTCCATCATTACTTGTACCTTTGACATATCTCAGAATTCGCTTTGCTGCAGCCCAATGTGATTCTTTTGGTTCCTCCATGAATCTGCTAAGAATTCCAACTCCAAAAGAAATATCTGGCCTTGTTGCCACCAGATACCTCAAACTCCCAATTAAGCTTTTATAAGATGTAACGTTCACATTCTTACCACACTCATCTTTGGACACCTTTAACTTTTCAGCTAACGGAGTCGAAACTGGTTTGGAGTTTTCCATTTTGAACTTTTTCAAAATATCAGCAGCATACTTCTTCTGTGAAATAAAGATTCCACCATCCATCTGAATAACCTCAAGGCCAAGAAAGTAAGACATAAGGCCCATATCGGTCATTTCAAACCTCTTAATGAGTGCCTCCCTGAATTCTGAGATTAGCTTCAAGTTGTTTCCAGTAAAAACCAGATCATCAACATACAGACAGATTAAAACAATATCACCAGAATCCGTGCATTTGACATACAAAGTGTGTTCATGAGGACATCTCACAAAACCACTTTCAACAAAATATGAGTCAATGCAACCATACCACGCCCTAGGCGCTTGCTTTAAGCCATACAAGGCTTTTCTCAACCTGTACACTTTATTTTCCTCCCCTTTCTTCAGAAATCCTGCAGGTTGCTCAACATATATTTCTTCTTCAAGAAAACCATTCAAAAAAGCAGACTTGACATCCATTTGATGCAATTTCCAATCATTTTGAGCAGCAAGAGAAATAACCATTCGAACTGTATCAAGTCTACTTACAGGAGCAAAAACCTCAAAATAATCAATACCTGGTTTCTGCTTGTAACCCTTTGCTACTAACCGTGCCTTAAAACGGTCAATTTCTCCATTTGACTTGTACTTCGTTCTGTAAACCCACTTCACTCCAATTGGCTTCTTTCCAGGAGGTAAATCTGTTAACTCCCAGGTACCATTCTTTTCAATGGCACGGATCTCCTCATCCATCGCCTTAAGCCAATTAGTTTCTGTAGCAGCCTCCTCAAAAGTTAAAGGATCACAATCTGCAAAGAGAGCAAATTGAACAATTTCTTCATCAGACAGGTCATTATCATGACCCAAAACATAATCTTGCAAGCGAGCTGGTAAGTGGCGCTCGCGCTGAGATCGTCGAACTGACGACTCTGGCTGTGAAGGAGACTGGACATTATCTGGAATCGGTTGCTCTTCAACAATATTTTCAACAGCAGGAATAACAACTGAACTTTCATCTTTAGCTAACCAATCCCAGGCACCATATTCATCAAAAGTGACATCACGACTTATAACAACCTTTTTAGTTCCAGGATTGTATAGTTTATAAGCCTTTGAAGCGTCACTATAACCAATGAATATGCACTTCTCACCTTTATCATCCAACTTCTTTCTCAATGGATTCGGCACGTGGGCATATGCCAAACATCCAAAAACCTTGAGATATTTGATAGAGGGTTTTCTCCCACTCCAAGCTTCTTCGGGCGTCTTATCACGGACACTCTTAGTTGGACACCTATTCAACACATAGACAGCACAAGCAACAGCTTCTGCCCAAAAAGGCTTAGGCAGATCCTTAGATTTCAACATGCACCTCACCATATCCATGATTGACCTATTCTTCCTCTCAGCCACTCCGTTTTGTTGTGGAGTGTATCTAGCTGTCATTTGGTGCTGAATACCCTTTTCTTTCAGAAAATTATCACAAGCAATATATTCTGTACCTCTATCAGTTCTCAAGATTTTAACTTCATAACCACTTTGCTTTTCAACAAAAGCCTTAAATTGTTTGAAAACATCACATGCTTCAGACTTTTGCTTCAGAAAGTAAACCCATGTTTTCCTACTGAAATCATCAATGAAAGTAATAAAGTACTTACAACCTCCATATGAGGGAACCTCCAACGAACACAGGTCTGAGTGAACAATCTCCAACTGTTTTGTGGCTCTCCTTGACTTGCCCACGGGAAAGGGATCTCTATGCTTCTTCCCAATCACACAAATCTCACAGATACGATTAGGGACATTCACAACAGGTAAATCAGAAACAAGTTCCTTTCTCGCAAGATAGTTTAACCCAGAAAAATGAAAATGCCCAAACCGCATATGCCATAACCAATTATCATCACAAACTTCAGAATTAAAGCAAGCAAGGAGAGTATGCTTAATTTTCAAAGGAAATAGTCGATTTTGGGACATATTTACCTTTGCAATCAAAACTCCTTTAGCATCTGCAATGGTACAACACCCCTGAGCAATATGTATCTTATATCCTTTTTCTGACAACTGACCCATACTCAACAAATTTTGGTGTAGTTCAGGAACATAGAACACATCGGATATAAAATTGTGAGTACCATCCTTCAACTGAATAGAGATTTTACCTTTTCCCAAAATTGGCACCTTTGACTTATTGCCAAACGTTACTTCAGACCGGACTGATTCATCTAGTTCGGAAAACAATTCTTTCTTCCCACACATATGGTTACTACACCCAGTATCCAAGAACCATATGTTCTTATCTGCAGAAAAACTATCGCTGGCCAAAAGTAAAGTTTCAGAACTCTCACCAGACTTTTCAGCAATGTTTGCTTGATTTCCACGATTGTTGTCCTCATTATACCAACAATCTGCAATCTTGTGCCCATACTTGCCACAATTGTAGCAATGAAATGGAAATTTACCTTGTTTGGTATTACCTCCACCTCTTCCTTGGTTGGAGTTACCACGTCCTCCTCCTTGGTTGAAGTTACCACGACCTCTTCCACTAGAACCTCCTCTTCCTCTTCCACGACCTCTACCAGATCCTCCACCTCTTTGATTAGTGCCAGTCACATTAAGGGTGGCTTGACTCTTCAAAGCTTCTTCTGCTAGTGGTTCCGATTTTGACGCAATCCTGTCAATATGACTTTCTACCATACCTTTCAGTTCTGCAATTGATAAGAGCTCGGTTTTGTGTGACTCTGTTATTGAAGCCACCACATGGTCATACTTCATCGGCATAGTTCGAAGAACTTTTTCAACCACTGCACCATCTTCAATCGTATCTCCATATAGCCTCATCTTATTCACCATATCAATAAGACGAGTGAAATATGCATCTACTGTTTCTGTAGAGGTCATCTCACAATTATCGTACAACCTTCTCAACGACTGCAACTTAGACTTCTGCGCCCGATCGACTCCTTTGTGTGACACCTTTAAGATGTCCTAAGCTTGTTTTGCTGTTTGAGCACGAGCTAATTGCCCAAAAATGGAATAATGAACACCTTGGTGAATCTGACCCAAGGCCAATTTATCTCGCCGTATAGCGCCTGCATCAGCTCCTTCGGGTAGACCGGGATCAACAAAGCTCCAAAGATTTTGAGCTTGCAAATGTGTGGACATCATAATTTGCCAATAATTGTAATCGAGGTTCCCGTCCAATTTGGGACCCGACCATACAATATTGAAATTTGTGGCCATAATTCACTATGAAAAATACCTCGGGGTTGAAAGGTTGACTGGCTCTGATACCAAATGTTAGATATATTAAATATAATATATTTAATATAATGTATATTAAATATAATATAATATATCTATAATATATATTAAATATAATATATCAATATATTATATTTATATATTGAGAGAGAAGAGAGAGGAATGAATAATGTTATTTGAAGGGATGATTAACAAATGAATACAAACTACATATTTATACTAAATGAAAGCTACTAATCAGGAAGCTAATGCTCCATGTACTAATGCTATAATTTAGGCCACTCTTCACATACAATGCATGACCCACACCCATTACTTTCATTATTTCCAACAAATTAACTAATTATTAATTACTTGCTTGGTTTAATAATTATAATAATAATATTATTATAACAGTTGTGTTGCCCACCTCTCTGCTACCTTGCTGTCTTGTTTTCCCTTGCCTGAACAATCCTCAACGTAGCCTTTCATGTTGGCTAGCCGAGCAGTGATTTTGTCCACCTCATCTTTGATTCTCCACTGGAATATTACTTCTTGGAAAGCTTGCTCCTTTAGCTTTCCAACTACAAAATCAACAATAGCACCAGCCATAATTATGCCAAAACACAGATTGTGTCTTCTGAGTAAGTATAGCAGGCCAATTGAACAAATTAAAGATGGATTTGCTTAATTGTGGGGTGATAGATTCAACATGGTTTTTGCTGCAAATATATACACCAAATTAACCCCTCCGCTCGTTTGGTGAGATAGATGGCATTACCAAATTAATTAATTACACCACTAAGGCACTAACCCCTCAAAATATTTAATCTCTAATTTGCACTGGTCTACAACGTAACACCCAATTAATTAATGGGTGATCTGACTAACCTAATCAACTTGGTCTTTATTTATACACCTAATGAGCTGTTCCTAGCAATTTAAATAATCAAAGTAAACATCAATCACATGTCATATAGGATACTATACTCAAAACATAATAAATAAGTTTTGTTTTTGTGTATAAATAACTAATTAATAACTAATAAGATGAGATTTCTTCCAAAAAAAAAAAACTAATAAGATGAGATTGTGCACAGCGGCCTTCCCGACGGCGATCTTGCCGCGCTTCAGCCGTAGATTAAGATCAAGCATGCATGAGCTTCTCCTTGGAAAGAGCCGCCCTAACAACGTTCCGAAACCTCTTCGCTATAACGGGCAAATTGTTGGGCTCCATTTTTGCCGTCTTCCTTTTTCTTCATATTTTAAATACTTATTTATGTTGTTTCCTTTATGCTGGTTACACACATTCCTTGTTGGAAAAAATAGCTTAAAAATGGCATAAAATGACATGATAAGTGGCTATTTTGTGGTACAATTATCAGTGGGGTCCACTTCCGATTTGGGACGGGTTAAAGTGGATTCGGATTCTTCGTAGTGAGACGAAGAGATCGATATATTGTACGCTCAAAACGGATAATGGGTGAATGAGATATTGATTCTCAAAGTAGACCCATTTGAGTTGGAAAATGAAGGGAAAAAGTGTGCTTTTGTCCCACATTGCTTTGGAATGAAGATTTTCCCCCCTTATATACAAGAGCTCTTTTGAAGCTTGTAGAATTGTATAGCATAGAGGCTCTCTCGCGCGGGGGGAGGGGGGGGGTGCAAATCAAATTCCAACTAGCACAGATTGAAAAAGGCTTGATTCAAGCCCGGGGGCACGAATGTCGTCCGGAAATTGGCTGGCCTTGCGGGCAAAGTTATGCCAAACTTCGGTATCATTTTCCAATTTTCCAACTGGTATAGCCACTTGGTTCGGGTTCGGCAACCGAGAGCACAACTCTCGTGCAACAGCCACCTACTCTCGTGCTACAAGAGAGCACGAGAGGTTGTGGTGCACCGAGAGCACAACTCTCGTGCAACAGAGTCCACGAAAGGTGCAAGGGCCGAAACTGGATGAGGTCGAAAGTTGAGACCGAACCCTGTACGCTAACGGTTAGGAACCCGAAAGTTCTGACTGTTGAGGGGTTTGAATTCATCTGTTACGGAATTAATTGTCTATTAATTCCAATTTTGAATTCTGAATTCAATTCCCAGGTAGTGGCCTGCTGTTATAGCTGTTGGAAGGCAGCTTTAATGTCATTTTTAATTGCCATAATAAAGGCTATTGGCTCCTTCAACTCTATATAAGAGAGGGTAGAGGCAGTAGAGTTTTACACACAGCTTTACACAGCACGAAAGTATACTTTTCCAGCTTCAAAAATCTCTGCTTCTACTCTTTCTTTAGCTATACTGTGTTCATAGCCATTGTCTTGCTCGCCGGATCCTTTGTTTGAATGCTCAAACATTGGATCATAGCAAGTTTTATCCTGGGAAGCCTAGGCCACAACGCTCCTAGCATCTACGGGAGGTGGCAAATAAGGTTTTAAGGAAAGAGTGCTCACTCGACTCTTGCAAAAACCCAACACCAAACACTAGCCACTTTTCTTCATCTTTTCTTCCCTTCTTTCCAGAAAATAATAGTCAATTTTATTTGATTATTATTTGTTTTCCTACCAACGGTACCAACATTCCTTTGGCTAGACAGACTCAACAGATTAATGACTAATGAGAATAGGGCAAAGAGGGGATTTACTGATTGTAACTTGTGTGGTGTTTGCAATATGGAACTATGGAAGTGGAATTAGTTGACCCATATCTTGAGATGGTGTCCGGAGGCTAGACGCGTCTGGGATTTAATAATGCCCAACATGATCCATGAAAGGGGCAACATTCCTTTACTAGCTGGTTTGATGAAGGCATTACAGGTTTCTCAAGGAACCGACAATATATATAACAATTGTATCCTGTTCGTAGTTACTCTATGGTGGTTATGGAAGTGGCGCAATGAAAGGATATTCAACGACAAGAAGGTTGGTGTTGGACATAAAGTCTATTGGATTCACTCGCAGCTGGCTGAAATAAATAAAGTGCGATGTAAATATCATACAATGAGGCATGAACTCATACAAATAATGGAATAATGTACAAATACAAAAAGATAAAAATTGATATTTAAACACAAAAAATATCAACAAGACAACAATGACAACTACAAGATTTGGAAGAATAGAAGAACAACATCAAAGCAAAAATATAATAAGAGTTATTAATCTTTCTTGTCAATAACATTTTTATTTTAATAGAGTAGGCTTTTCACCATAATTATTGTGTTGAATAATAACTCTTAATATATGTTCAATCTTCCATCGATCTGATCCTTCAACACTTATCCTTTGAACAAGTTGTTGAGATAGGCCTACTAGATGCAATTTTTTCAAATGCTCAACTTCTCTCAAGCCTTCTGGAAGCATTTCTAGACATTTGCAGTCCAGCATAGATAGTAACTCAAGACATGCCATAGCTCCTTTTCCTATTTCCCACTTGGTAAGCTCTGGGCAATTTATGGCTAACTTCTTGAGTTTTGGAAAGCTCCCTTCACTACACAATAATTGGTCTCCACTATAATTCTTAATGTAGAGATCCAATAAGCTTGGCAGTTTCTCCAAACTATAGAAGAAATCCTCATCTACATCACACATATGTATAAAAATTACGCGAAGATAATTAGGAGTGCTAATAAAATTTACCAATTTCCCAAACCCAAAGAGTTGAAGCTTCCCGAGAGAAAGGGGTGGCGAGAAATTTATAAATTCTTGTAATTCACCACTTTCACAATCAATAAATAGAGAGTGAAGATTTGTCATTTTTTTGACAGAATCACAAATTGCTCTCCAGCATTCCTCCCCTTCGTTGAAAATAATATTCAACTTAGTGAGTTGTGGGATGTTAACTAATTCTCTTGCTTGGATGGTATTAATCAGTATGCCAGATAATGTTTGAAGCTGAGAAAATTGGAATACTATATCTGCCACTTGTATTCCATAGCTTCCAAAGAGATGTCTCAGCTGCTTAAGCTCCGACACACATTTAGGCAAACTATTTACAAGAGTACCTCTTAAATCCAATGTCTGTAGATTGTGCAATCTTCCCAACGAATCAGGAAGATGTCTCATCATATCACAACCGGACAGATCTAAGTAGGTAAGATGAATTAGATCCCCAACCTCATTGGGTAGCTCCTTCATACCCTCAGGTAACCATTCCAACACCAAAACTCTGAGCAACTTCATGTTTTGGAACATTTGAGGGAATGAATTCAGAGCAATCCCTTCACAGTTGTTGATGATGAGTGTACGTAGCTTCTTCATGTTTTCGTAGCAATTGTCAAGCTGAACCTTTTGCTCCCCTTCCACGATGATCAAACTACGCCTTTGCTTCCACTCAAGTTTGCTACTTTCCTCCAATTTGATGATTTCAGTAAACATTTCCCTTCTAATCACCTCACACGCCACATCACGGTAAAGGTCGTGAATTTCGATTCTTCCCAACTCTTTACCATTATACTCATTGGGAATGATCTGAAGCAAGCTTCTATTTTTGAGCTGAAGGAAGTAATCCCTTGCTATGTGCTCTAGTGTTCTGCCACTATGGGGATGGGGATCATCATTGATAAACCCCTCCGCAATGCATATGCGGATCAACCTTTGGGCACGAATGCGGCCATATGATTTGGGAAGCATTGCACAGTATAAGAAACATGACTTGAGGTGAGTTGGCAGTTCATAATAACTCAACAACAAGGCTCTGTTGAGAGATGCTAGACTGCCACCTGCTTCAGATTCAAATTCGTGTGAGTAGTAGTCAAGGCTTTTGAGAGCATCCCTCCATTTTGATGGATCATCACCTTTTGTGGACATCAACCGAGCCATTGCAAGAATTGCAACGGGTAAACCTGAGCATTTCTTAACCAATGCTTTTCCAGGTTCTTCAAGCCCATTAGGCCAGCTGCTAGTGCTACCACCATTATCACAATAAAAAGCCAATTTGCAGAAAAGGGTGCATGCCAAATCAAATTCTAACGGCTTCACCTCAACATAATGAGGTGCAGCCACAAGAAAAGACCCATTGGCTATATTTTTGTCACGGCTAGTGACAATAATTGAAGATGCACGATTGCCCGGAAGTTTTATTTTAGCCAAGAGAGTATGATCCCAAACATCATCAAAAAATACAACATACCTCTTTCCTTCTAAGTAATCAAGAATGTGTTGTTGAAGAGAATTTCTATCTGCTTTCTCGAGTTCTGCAGGAGGCTTGGTTCCAACACTTCTATACAACACATTGATTGTTGTCCTCAGAACATGTTCAATATCTGAGGAGTGATTCACATCAACCCACAAACAACAATCAATTGTGCGATCCATCTTGACACTTTCATGAACTTGCTTGGCCAAAGTAGTTTTCCCACAACCTCCAGTTCCCCAAATCGTGATCAACTTCACTTGACCACTACGCTTCTCAATCAGTTGTGCTATCCGGTCGACTTCCATGTCGATCCCCACTGCTTCTATCCCCTCCATATATCCACTCCCACTTCCTACTAACTCATTGCTGCTGCTGCTGCTGCTTCCTTCATTTGTCTTAACTTCTATTTTGTACTTTGACTTCTCTTCTTCTAGAAGAAGCAGCTTCTCATCCATCTCTTTTAGCTGCTGATGGAAGCGATACTGGATCATCACCCTCTTGGCAAAGCTCTGAATAGTGGCGATGAGGGACTTGGGTTGACAGAAATTGCAGGGTGGAGTATTGAGCTCAAGGAGCTTCATATCCACCATGAACTCCTCAACCAAGTCCTCGAGTTCAAGTGAGGTCTCCCTCAACTGATTCACCCAATTCTCTGCTATCTTGGTTTCCTGTTTCCCCCAACCCAAATGCTCAACATAGCCTTTCATATTTTCTAGCCGAGTTGTGATTTTTTCTGTCTCAGCTTTGATTCTCCACTGGAATATAAATTCTTGGTAAGCTGGTTCCTTCAGCTTTTCAACCAGAGCATTAACTACAGTAGAAGCCATGGTTATTACAGAATAAGAGAGAGTGTCTTAAAGCAGTAGGACTTGCTTGATGGTGATGCATCCATGGTTATAGTGCTGCAGATATATAGACCAAACAATCAAATAAGATAGGCTTATGTGAAATTAACAAAAAAAAAAAAAAAAAAAAAAAAAAAAAAAAAAAAAAACTTTCTAAGTTTTGACAACCAAATTTTTGTATTTTGTACTCCGTAAATCAATTCAAACATCCTATCATCAACACCTATCATTTTGTCTTTTTGCAATTATCATTATCTATTAGTCACTATATGTAATCGTTTTATTCATCAATATATAGATTCCTTATTAAGTCAAAGTCGAATCAATCAATTCACCAATAATTCATAAAAATAAATAATATATATATTTTTTAAATTCAGACTATGTGGTCTAATGGTACCCGGGCTGGACTTCCATTTGGAAGGTTGTGAGTTCAAGCTTCAGCATAATAGAACAAGTAGCATTCAAAAAAAAAAAAACAGAAGTAGCCCGAGTAGCTAATAATAATGGGAAGCATTTTCTCATCTTTAATTTCATCTATAAGGTCCTATTTGGTTCGCAAAAAATATTTAAAGTGAAATGGAATTGAAATTTCATGAGAAGAAATTTCTATTTGGTTCGCAAAAAATATTTAAAGTGAAATGGAATTGAAATTTCATGAAAAGAAATTTTCAAGAAGATTGCTTCACCATTATTGTTTGGTTGGTTGAAAAGAATTTACTGGAAACAGTGATTCTATTATTTGGTTGGACTAGTATTTTCGCCCGTGCGATGCACGGGATGGATTTGTTATAATATATTAAAAATATTTGGATTGATATATAATTATTTAAATTAGAACATCAAATATTATACAGTGCAATTGAAGATATGTTTTGGATTATTTATGTGTTTTGATGTTATCATTGTTTGAATTTGAGCAAATAATTGCTCAAATTAATAGTTAATGTGTAAATGTATGCATGCGAAGCTGTAACTATGGAGATTTTATTTATCATTGTTTAGTATTTTTTTTTGTCATTTAAGAAAACATAATATCAACGATTGTATTTACACATTATTAAAACCTGTTTGTAGATGACATTGGTTGTAGCAACGCAATCCTGTCCATCATCGTATAGAGCTAACACCTTCAGTCCATCAGGATAGGTGATTCGGGTGAAAATATATAATAGTAGAGTATTAGTCAATTAGCGATCCTTTTATATTTTAAGTCAATTAGTAATATCAAATTCATTTTCAGCAAATTATTCTTTTATATTTTTAGTCAATTAGTCAATTAGAATATCATATGCAGTGATATTTTTACCTAATTTTCGTTCAATTTTTAATTGATGATGTATAATATTATTATTGAAATATTTACGTTCCATTTTTAATTTATCTTTAATATTGTTTAAAATATGCACTTACTATTTATGATGTAGAAATATTATTGAAATATTTCCATCAAATTTTAGTTTCCGTTCCATTTTTAATTAAAATGCAATAATCAAACCAATGCTTTTTTCATATTAATCAATTATGGATCATTTTTTATTTGCAGTCAACTATTAGTATTCATTTCTTTTTATATTTTCAGTCAATTTGTAATGCCATATTCATTTTCAGCCAATTATTCTTTTTATTTTATTTTATTTTTATTCAATTAGTCAATTAGAATATCAGATGCAGTGATATTTTTACCTAATTTTCGTTCCATTTTTAATTGATGATGTAGAATATTATTATTGAAATATTCCGGTTTCATTTTTAATTTTTGTTTCATTTTTAATTTACCTTTACTATTATTTAAAATATGCATTTACTATTGATGATGTAGAATATTATTATGTAAATATTTCTTTTTTATTTTTAATTTACTTTTACTTGATGATGTAGAATATTATTATTAAAATATTTTCGTTCTATTTTTAATTTTCATTTCATTGTTTAAAATTGTGAAAGATTTATGACATAATTGTGATTTGATGTATTATACTGTATAATATTATTGTGAAAAATTAAAATGCAATGATCTGACCATTTCCTTTTTCATTTTAGTCAATTATGGATCATTTTTATTTTCAGTCAATTATTAATATTCATTTCCTTTTCCAATTAACCTAACTTCAATTCCTTTTTTTTCATTTTTAATTTTCAGTAAATTATTAATATTCATTTCTTTTTCCAATTTACCTAATTTCCATTCTATTTTTAATTGATGATGTAGAATATTATTGTGAAATATTTATGTTTCTTTTTTCATTCTTTTTTTAATTTACCTTTACTATTTACTATTGTTTGGACAGAAAATCAAGTAAATAGGATTTTGTTTTTAATTATAGTATAGATTTGACCGTGAGGTTGTAACATCTATACATATATATAGTGACTCTGGAAGCATTTCTAGACGTGTGCAATAAAGCATAGATAGTGACTCAAGACATGTCATGGCTCCTTTTCCTATTTCCCACTTGGTAAGCTTCTCGCACACTATCTCTAGCTTCTTGAGTTTTGGGAAGCTTCCTTCACTGCACAATAACTGGTCTCCACTATAACTCTCAATGTAGAGATCTAACCGGCTTGACAGTTTCTCCAAACTATTGAAGAAATCCTCATCTACATCACACATACACAGATAAATTACTCGAAGATAGTTATGAGTGCTAATAAAATTTACCAATTTTCCAAACCCAAAGAGCTGGAGTTTCTCAAGAGAAAGAGGTGGCGAGAAATTTATAAATTCTTGTAATCCATCACTATGAATAAATAGAGAGTGAAGATTTGCCATTTTTTTCACAGAATCACAAATTGCTCTCCAACATTCCTCCCCTTCCTTGAAAATAATATTCAACTTAGTGAGTTGTGGGATCTTTACTAATTCTCTTGCTTGGATGGTATTAATCAGTACACGAGATAATGTTTGAAGCTGAGAAAATGTGAATACAATATCTGACACTTGTAATCTATAACTTCCAAGGAGATATCTCAACTGCTTAAGCTCTGACACGCATTTAGACAAACTATTTACATCAGTATTAATTCAAGAGTGACATTAATAATTAACATATTATGAAGGGGTATAAATTACAATTTTTCCTTTATCTAATTATAGATAATAACTACTGATTTACCTTATAATGCACAAAAATTATATTATCATAAATTTGAATAAAATTATAAATTATAAAAAGATGTTTAAAGAAAAATAATGAAGAAGAAAAATCATATCTTACAAATTTTAAAAACTTAATTAAATATAATTTTCATATAATTTAAGAAAATATGGCACTTCTTATCATAGAAAAACAACATTTATCATTTTTTAATTATATTGTCAATTTTTTTCCTCAATTATTTGTGAAGTGATTTTGTTTTCTCATTCCTCTATTGTCTATAACAATGATTTTTTGCATCAATGTTTTAAAGTAATTGAATAGTGTAATTGTAATTTTCTTTTAAAAAATTGAATTTCATTTTCTGTATTAATTCTGTGAAAATGAAGTATGAACACATCTTCCACTGCACAAAAACCACCATTTTTCTATCTATGATTTATATTCAAGTTGGAATTAGTCAAACATAGCTATCACTCATTAACTCCATACCATCACAATTATTGACAATTCTATATGAACATAACTTTATTGTCTTTATGTGTGTGTTTCTTTGATTTCCGACAGAACTTAATGTCTTGATGTGTGTGTTTTGTTTGATTTCCCACCCAACTATTATTTCATTGCAAACTTGATGCTTCAACTTTCACACAAAAAAATACTAAGAGAATTGGCCTTGGTTGATAAATATATTAACTTATTTTTGGGTTAATTACATTTTTACATTTTCTTTTTGAGAAAATTATCACTTTTTTAGTACTACTGATCTATTACAAGGTAGTATCTATTCTATGCTTTCTCTATCATACCCCGATCTTGTGACCTTCCTTCAAGGCAAGTCACGGATAGGTCATTTGAGTACAAGGTGCTTGGCACGTACTGTTAAATTTAGTTCGTAATTTAATTCTATATTCAATTACTTATTATTTCTCATTATCCTAACTATCTAGGCAGTGATTCTTAGGTTTTATCTATAATAAAATATGATAACTCATAAATTCTTTCTCATTATTCTAACATTCATTACCTTATACTCAGTTGGCACTTCTATAACTCTCCTACAAAGAAGGTCACAAGATCGTAGGACAACAACAAATAGATAAATTATATTGAACAGGTTTGGTGAAATAAAACTCAACTATATTTTGATCATTTATTATTAAATTTTTGTGTCTTGTGATTTATCTAACTATAGATAATAACTAGTGGTTTACCTTGTAATACACAATATATATATATATATATATATATATATATATATATATATATATATATATATATATATATATATACACATTATCATAAATTTTAATTAGCCTATAAATAATAAAAAGGTATTTAAAGAACAATAATGAAGAAGTAAAATCATATATTACAAATTTTAAAAACTTAAATACAATTTTCATATAATTTAAGAAAAAATGGCACTTCTTATCATAGAAAAATAACTTTTTATCATTTATTAATTATATTGTGACCTTTTTTTTTTTTTTTTTTTTTTTTGTTTCTCAATTATTTGTGAAGTGATTTTTTTTCATTCCTCAATTGTCTATAACAGTGATTTTTTTTTTTTCCATCAATGTGTGAAAGTAATTGAATAGTGTAACTGCGATTTTCTATTAAAAAAAATGAATTTCATTTACTGTATTAACTTTGTGAAAATGAAGTATCAACACAGCTCCGACAGACACCACCAATTTTCTATCTATGATTTATATCAAAGTTGGAATTCGACAAACATAGCTGTCAGCCTGTCACTCATTACTAATTTATCTACTTGTCGTAACATTTTTTTTTTTAAAGTAATACATTATAGCATCTATTCATACATACTTACTTTACTTACTTTCTCAACTTGTTGAAGCACAAAGAGTTAACACTGTC